TTTTTTTATATCAGATAACATTTCTGGGGTTAATCTCCTAAATCGTGGAGCTATTTCATTTATAGTTGGAGTAAGAACATGATTATGTTTATCTTTAAATAAGTTGATCTTCAAAATATTATTTGTTTTGAGGCAGGTAAAGTTAAGATGCCGAGAGCATTCTGTTTGTTGTAAAGACATATTTCATCGCTTAGTAGGATCTGTAGTCACCAGAAGTTGGTGTGTACCTGATCTTAAACATTCATATATGGCATGACAAACTATATCACCATCCATTGTGCTAGTTCTAATTCGATACCTAAATCCTTCCTTTTTAGCAAAACATTCAATCCAGGCTTTAAATTCCTTGAAACTTCCATAGGTAAGTCCAACTTTCAACTCTAATGGATTATTGTGGTTTTCAATTTCTCCTGAATCTTCAAAATCGGCACTACTAAGTTCACTGTCAGAACTATCGTCCATAGAATGATAATTGTTACTAATGTTGTCCATAGAATGATAATCATTACTAAAATTGTTTAACTAAAAAAAAGTTGTATATATATACATACATATAAGGATAGATTAGGTTATGAATATTAACAAACAAACAATAGAAACATGTAAGATATACTTGGGATAGAGAAGGGCTATTAGTCGCATTTGAACATTCTGGATCCAGGTTAAAGGAAACTAGTATAAAAGGTAAAAAATAAAAAAAAAGTTATTACAATGACTTATCCCAGCTTGTGTCATGTACGTATTAATATTCAAAATACTTGCTTGTTGTAATTTGGTTTTCTATATTTAATGAGCTTCTATATTGAGTGAAGACGTGAAAAAAAAATTGGGTTGCAACTTTTAGGCTACAGGTAAAAAAATGATTATTTCAACAATTGTTTCCATGTTTGTTAACATTAATGAATCCTCAATTGTTTATCTCATAAAATAAACTGTTTTACTGGTCAACTAAATGCTTTCTTTATAAGTGAAGGTTCTAAGCAAACCTGGCATGCAAAAAATACACAGTTAACCTTTGGCTAAAAAACATGAAAATGATATTTTTGTGATCTTACGTTACAAGCTTCTTACTTGTCTAACTAAAGTATTCGTGAAAATTTTTAAGCAAAGGGTGCAAAAAAAAAAAAAAAGAAAAGAATACATGACTCTTAGGTTACAAGCAAAAGAAAATTAACTATTATTACGATCATTTACCTATTTATTGATATCAAAACAATTGCGATTACATACATATGCATTACCAACGTCGAAGTTAAATCAACAATGCGTACGTACTATGGTACTATGTACAACTATAGTAATATTGGTACAACTATGATGAACAATATATATATATGTATATACACATAGTGTAATTTAAGAAATATTCATATAATTAATATAATAAAGAATAACTTTCACTTAAAAGAAGAAAAATTATTGGTAAAGTATCTTTATAAAAATATTATCCTATATTAATTTAAAAATTAAATTAGTTTATTAAAATAAAAATTTAAAAATAATTATAAATACCTGATAAAGGCAAATCATGAATATTTGTATAATTAATTATAAAAGTAAGTATATTTAAAATTATTTCAAAAAACTGATTTACTAACTTTTCTCAACGATCACTTGTACCAAAATTTTACTAAAACAAAACTTAAGTTTTTTTAAAACTGCTTTTTTTAATACATCTTTTTTATTAAATTTTATTGTTCTATACCCCAATTTATATATAGCTACCAAGTTTTATAGCTCTAAACCAATTTTCTAATTAAATTAAATAATTCTTCATTAAATAACTACAATTTGAGTTTACTCAAATTCTGCTGAGGAAACTAGTCTTGTTTCTTAAGACAAAGTCCTCCAGCTTGCTCCTAGCTTTATTTTAATATAAAATTCACAAATAGCCAAAAACTGATTAGTTTATAGCCAAATTACTCCAACCTCCTCTTTCTATAACTTTTTTCTTCTTCTTTTTTTTTTTCCTTTTTTTTCCCCTTTTTCTCTACCCAAACCCAGCCCCAAACACGTTTTGGAATCTCTAAAATAATGGTTCATTCAATTAATAATCTTATTTAAAAATTTACTTTTAAATTTTTATTAAATTTACACAAAACAAACAATTACAAATCCATATTCCTTTTAATTTATACAAATTTAAATAGTATTACCTACTATTTTTAGCAACTTTATACAAACTACTTTTGTACTACAAGCCACACTAGCCATAGCCACATTAGCTATAGCCACACCAGCTATAGCTACACTAGCCACAAAAGTTTTACCTATAGTATTACATTACACAAAACAAATTTTACCAATTTTTGAAATTCTCTTTGCTTTCTTTAATAATATCACTATCTAATCTATCAAAATGCCTACCCTAACTATTCAAGATCCTGATTTTCATAATCTCGATTATTATTATAACAAATATCCAGACCGTTTTGGTATTGGAACAAAAGAATCTGACCTACTAACTTTACATATCTTACCCAAAGATATTAATTCTACTAATTGCGAACTCAACAAATTTCATCATTACTTTAAAATACCAACCCAACCTGCTCTATCTACTTGTCTATATGGCAAATTTCATACAAACTTTACATCTAAACACTATTAAATTCCTCATACTACACTACCCAGACAATCTACTAGCTCTATAGCAATAGATATCTCTCCAAATGCAATTATTTTTAAGAAACATTTCAATGAAATTACAGAAATATTGCCCAAATTACCTTTCTCTAAACAACAACAAGAATTTTAATTAACTTCTCAAATTACACCTTTTACTCTTCATACAGACCCTAAACCTACCACAATTGATCCTTATTCTCAATACTATCATACATGCAGAATTTGCAAAATTAAAAACATTTCATAAAAGCAAACTATACACCCAATTACTCCAAATCTATGTTCTTCAAAGACCTTATGATCTACTGTAATTGTGTTCACAACCTTCAACATGCCAAACTTAAACCTATTTCTCTTACTAAACCTTTTATACATAAACAATGATTCTTTTTTTACTTTTACTACTTCTCTCAACTTACCAAAGATGCCAAAATTAATCTTCTTCAAAAACTTGCCAATAGAGGCAAAAAAATTAAACAAAACCCATATAAATCATTTAAACAAAACCAACAACAAACCCACTAAAGACACATCTCAAGACCTTGACTGGTTTGCCAACTACCCAATTATCCAAGAAATAAAACAAAATACTAAATTAAACACAATCTTTGTCCAAAAACTTTTCAACTTTGCCAAAACCCACCTTCGCAAATTTACTTCAAGTCAGCCAATCCCAACTAAAAAAAAAGAGCCAACCTTCAAACTCTCTCAAAAACAAAGCTTTAACTACTTACTTAAATCCATAGCTACTAAAAAACCAGATTTTTTTACAGAATTCCTTCAATAATCAAATCAATCACTTTCCTCTAAACTTAATATTCCCCAATATGTATATATCTCAACTCTTAAAAATTTACTCACCAAATTTACTGAACTTCTTTTTACCAAGCTTAATTATGTTCATATCTTCAAATTACACTATGCAATTTCTTCTTATTTAATCGCTGACCATAGCAAAGTAGCAATTAATTTTGCTTGATTATATCTCTTTCTCTATAACAAATATAAAAAAATCTACTATCAAAATTTATAAAAAACTGGATATTTATCTACTCAGACTCTTTTTACAATACAACTTCAAATATGACAATACCAAAAAACTTCTCTTTAGTATCTATAACAATAATTGATTCACAGTCACAGTCACTCTTAACATTCCTAAAACCAGATTTATGAATACTTTTTGTATTCCTTTACTTAAACCCTATACCAATAACTTTGACTCTTAGTTCAAAAACTTTTTTAAAAACAGTTCACTGAAATCAATGAAACTAAAGTTTGCAACTACCTCAAATACCAAATAGCAACAATACTTACTGATAAATACAAAAAATATTTACCTTCTAAATATGAAATTACAAATTCCTCTTCTCTTTAAGATCACTCTTTCCAAACTACTAAAGAAGCTTTTTACCATATTTATATCTGCAAAGATAAAAACTATACTATCTTACTACAAGATACTGAATATAACTTTTCTAGCCTATCTACCTTCTTTTTCACAAATCCTTCAAAACTTTCTTAGCATCTCCTAAAGAAGAAACCTTAACAATTACCCAAATTAATCTAGATCTTTCTATATTTTATTCAAAAAATCAACATCCAGCAACTTTTAGAAAAGCTATTTCAATGCAAATACTAAATACACTAGCTACCAAAGCAGACCAAAAATTTGTAAAAATTAATAATCTGGAAACAAACCCCAAATAAACTGCATACTACTTTTACTTCTACTTTAAAGCCTATTTTAATGCTGTATCAGTAAATGATGATATTTCAACTCTTAAACTCGAAAAAGCTCTGAAAAAAACTATCTTACCTTCTATTAGCCCTCTACTCTTGCATGTATATTTCTCTATTACAATATCAAAACTTGATCTAAATTTTCAATACCCCAAATCCAACAAGAATATAAACTTAAACACTATATTGAGGCTAAAAAATTCATTATTAAACACTACAAGATCAATATTTTATCTATTTTAGATGACTTTCTCTTCTTCTTCTCAAACTCTACAAACTTCTCAATTTTCTATAGTTCACTTTTTCAATAAACCCTTCTATAGACAACATTAATACAGCTACTGCTTCCAAAATAATGATGTCCTCTACTAATAGTAGGCCATTTTTGGAAGAGAATGATATAAGTAGATAGGTAGTAAAGTCTATTTACGTGGAGAACCAAGTTAATGACAGCCAGACCCAGTATACAGGACAGGCTATAATACTCTTCGCAGATGTGAGAGCTGAGCATATAGTAAGCATCTCTATAGAAGAAATCCTGAACATCTCAGATACCAACTCATCAAATCTTTCTAAGATCACTTCTTATAACACCTTCTTATTCACCACAATACAATCAACCATTCTATCATTATTTCTAACCACTCCATCTATTCAAACAACCAACTTATCAACTTTTTTTTCAAATTTATTAGAAGACTTTGAAAATGATAACTCATCTCCAACTACTAAAACACTATGAGAAAAACTCTCTGCAAACCTACCATCAAACCTACTTGAAATATATAATAATACAACATGCTTTAACAAATTCTTATCTCTATATAATCTTCAACCTCTCCCAAGTCTACAAACAACTACATCTTTTCTTCACCATATTAAAAATAATTATTCAATATACTACTCTGAACACTTTATTAAAATCTCAATCCAAAAAGCAGATAATCTTCTTATAGAAGCACATATATACCTCCCACTAGAAAACATACTTCTTCCAAATTATATTTTTCATCTTTTTAAAAATCTACTTACACTTTAAAATATTTCACTCAAATCCAACTATTCAACACACAATAATATATCTTCTTTACAAACTTGTAAACACAGTCTTCTCTCTAACTATTCTTTTAATATACTCTTAAATAATGCATCACTTTTTACTATCCCCTCTCTTCAATCTGAATACCTCTCTATCTTTATTAAAATTGCTTCCTTTAATATTAATTGTCTCCGTCAACTAGCAAAGAAACTTTCCTTATCCAATACATTAAATAACAACTCTTATGACATTTTAGATCTTT